AAAACTAATTGAGCAGAAAGCTTACCTGTGGGGAAGAAATAGCCACTGTGTTGTCAACAGCATAAAAAAAGTATATATATATAGATATGTATATATATTAACCAGACACTCCCTGGTGGTTCACACCTATACTTTTAGCTACTCAAGGGCTGAGACCTGAGGATCAAGATTCTAAGCCAGGCCTGGCAGATAAATCCAGAAGATTCTCTAATAAGCAACTGGAAGCATGGCTCAAGGGGTAGAGCACTCACCATGAACAAAAAATCTGGCTGAGAGTACTGCCTAGACACTTTAGTCTGCTGAGAATTCATTTTAAAATATGTGGCAAGTTGGTGCTGAAATCATGGATGTTACTGTATGCCTCCATCTGCAATAGAAAGAGATTGAAGCCTATTTACCAAAAGAGTAAAATTGTAAACACTTTTGAACCTTCAAAAGACATTTCAGAGCCAGGTGCCAGGGGTGACTCAACCCTGTAATCCTTGCTATTTAGAAGGCTGAGATCTGAGGACTGCAGTTTAAAGCCAGCTGGGGCAGGAGAGTGCATAAGACTTACATCTCTCACTCCCACAAAGCCGGAAGTAGAGCTGTGTTCAAGTGGTAGGGCACTAGTTTTGAGCAAAAATGCTCAGGGGCAGCACTCAGGCCTTGAGTTCAAGCCCTGTGATTGGCACTAATAAATGAGTAAATAAAATCCTGTAACTTAGCAATTCATACAGTAAAAAACCTCAATAGTAAGACTAAAGTTTTGTAAACTTTTCATAAGAGCTCCATATGGAAAATATTAACCCTAACTCCTTTTTTTGTTAACTGATAAATAGACATTGTGCTTTTTTTTTTTTTTTGGTCATGGGGCCTAAACTCTGGGCCTGGGTGCTGTCCCTCAGCTCTTCAGCTCAAGGCTAGCACTCTACCACTTGAGCCACAGCACCACTTCTGGCTTTTTCTGCTTATGTGGTGCTGAGGAATTGAGCCCAGGGCCTCACATATAAGCCACCTTCCCAGCCCAAAATTGTGCTTTTTTTTTAATGGACAACACTGTGTTTTGATGTATGTATACACTATGGAGTTGCTAAATTATGCATTATCTCACACTTTTTATGATGAGAACACTTAACAAATTTATCTTATGCACTGTCTATTTAAACTTCTCATTATCATTTGTTTTAGTGTGTGTGCTGTTGAGGTTAGTCCTAATTTCCTCTCATTAAGGATCTAGCTAGCCTTTCTTCTAAGAATGTGCTTTGCTAAGCAAGACCTCTCAGTTAACAATAATACGTTTCTTTTTCTTTCTAGTTAAAAAAATGTTTAAATTTATTTTATTAGTGTACATTACTTGTGCAAGGGAATTTCGTTGTGACATTTCTACTTACGTAAATGGAGTAGCCTTACAAGCTCCCCACCTGTCTCTTCCATCTACCCCCCCCCCAAATGATTTCAGCAAGCTTCATTGCTCCATTTTCATACATGCAAATAAACATTCATTACCATTCAGCTTTTTCATTAGTCCTTCCTTCTGTTTCTGTGCCCACCTTCCTAAGCCCTTGTTACCATACTTTCAAGAGTGCATGTAAAAGATGATGAAAGTTATCAAGATCTGGAGTTTAGTGAGTAGATGTTATCATTGGGGAAAGCTGACTAAAAAGGACATGGAAACTGACTTTGTTGTTTACAGCCATTGCAAAATTATTTCAAAATAGAAAGTAAAAATAGTTGTCTTTGCAGATTCAGTGTTTCTAAGCTTTTTATTTTTATACTTAGTCATAGGGCTTGAACTCAAGGCCTGGGCACAGTCCCTGAGTTCTTTTGCTCAGTTAGCACTGTACCACTTTGAGCCACAGCGTCACTTCCAAGTTTTCTGGTAGTTAAATGGAGATAAGTCTCATGGACTTTCCTGCAGTCCTCAGATTTTGGCCTCCTAAGTAGCTAGGATTACAGGTGTGAGCCACCAATGCTTGGTCTGTTTCTATCTTTAAAAAAAATGGATTTTACCAATTGAAAGATGAAATACATATTCTTAAAAGGCTTAAAAGTTAAGTTTCAAACTCTTAACATACATGCAGAAAAGGTATGTATAAAACAAACTATTTACATGAATAGAGTATACTTATGCAACCAAGCACCAGGTGAAGAAATGCAATTTTAGGAACAGTCCAGAGTTCCCATGCTTTCTCCTAGTTAGTTAACATACCAAAAGTATAACTAGTAGCCTTACTAAATGTCTAGTTCTAATATGAATGTTAAATGCAGATTAGTAAATTTAATTTTCTCTTTACATACAAAGTAAAATATTTACATAAAAATAGTAAAGTAATCTGGGTGCTGGTAGCTCATCCCTACAATCCTAGCTACTTAGGAGGCTGAGATCTGAGGATTGCATTTCAAAGCCAGCATAAGCAGAAAAGTCCTATCAGACTCATATCCAGTTAACCACTCAAAAACTGGAAGTGGTGCTGTGGCTCAAAGTGGTAGAGCACTAGCTGAACAAAAGTCCAAGGAAGTGCCCAGGTTCTGAGTACAAGCCCCTCAACCATTCCCCTCCCCCCAAAACACCAGTGAAATCATATGATTAGCATAATGACTAAATTGCTTTATTGTAAATTTTTTCTCCCTCTTTTTTTTTTTTTTGGTTGGTGGTGGTGTTTCAACTCTGGGCCTGGGTGTTGTCCCTGAGCATTTCAGCTCAAGATGAGAACTCTACCACTTGAGCCATAGCAGCACTTCTGGTTTTCTGGTAATTAATTGTAGATAAGAGTCTCATATGCTTTCCTGCCCGGGCTGGCTTTGAACCGTGATCCCCAAATCTCAGCCTCCTGAGTAGGTAGGATTATAGGTGTTAGCCACTTGTGCCTGGCCTATATTCTCATTTTTTGGTTTGTTGTCGTGCTTGTCCTGAGGCTTGAACTTGGGACCTGGGACACTGTCCCTGAGCTGTGGTGCTCAAGGCAAGTGCTCTACCACTTGAGCCATGAATTTGGAGGTAAGAGTCTCTTAGACTGTCCTACCCAGGCTTTATAGACTTTACCAGACTCTGCTACCCAAACCATGATCCTCAGATCTCAACCTCTTCAGTAGCAAGCATTTCAGGCATGAGCCACCACACCTGGCGTTTACAGTGCTCTTAATTCAAAATTATGCAGTGAACAAAGACATGATATGCTTGTAATCTCAGCATTCAGGAGGCTGAGACTGGAGGATCATCTAGGCCAGGCTGGGCTGCATAGTGAAATCTTGTCTCAAGAAAACAAAACAACGTGATAGTACATAATGATAAAACATTTAAATTTTAACTATGATGCTATGTAGAAAATCAACAGTGAAAACATGAAGTTTGTGGTGGTGTCTTTCCATTTCATTTGTAGGATTATACAGCAATGTTTACAGCATCTAGTAAGAGTATTGAGTGTTATCTAGCTCCATATAGATTTGTCAGATTAAAAATTATTCTCAGTGGTAAATAATATTCTCAATGTACAAAATCCAAAACATAAGAGACATAATAAAATATTTTGGCTCAGGCACACCTGAGTTCTGTAAAGGTCAGTATTTAGGATTGAATGGTGTATGGACTTACATCAAAGATACTTGTGCTGTGGATCAGAATGTGGAATGCTTATAATATTATAGGTGAGATTATATAAAATTATAGGTGAGACTATTTTCTATAAAAGTTTCTATAAAATTATAGGTGAGACTATTTTCTAACCTTCTATTTGAGGCCACATAGCTAAGTTCTTGCCAAAAGAGTGAAAATTGGCAAGTGCAATTCCAACGTCCTTGCTGTTGAAGATGAAATTTCTGAATCTGCAATCCTATTCTTTGTTTCTTTCTTTTTCTTTCTTTTTTTTGGGGGGGGGGGCGTCCGGTCATGGGGCCTGAACTCTGGGCCTGGGCCCTGTCCCTCAGCTCTTCAGCTCAAGGCTAGCACTCTACCACTTGAGCCACAGTGCCACTTCTGGCTTTTTCCTTTTTGCTTATATGGTGCTGAGGAATCAAACCCAGGGCCTCAGGCATGCAAGACAAGCACTCTACCACTGAGCCACCTTGTCAGCCCTTCTTTGTTTCTTTCTACTGGCTGAATTAGCACCATCCACCTACAGTTGGTATGTTTAAAATGACTGGAACAGAGCTATCCTTAGAACTGAGCCTTTAGGAGGGGTCTCTGCTAGTCTAAACTAGCAGTTGCATACTTCTTTCAAACAAGTGATATTTTTATTTTAAAGTAAGCACTTCTGTTTTAGTGCTTCTAAACTAAATATGCAAAATTTATCAATGATTTACTTAAAAAAAAAAAGCTAGGTTTAAGATTGTGTCTATGATGTCCCTTACAACTTCTCATTCCTATGTTCATTTCAATGTAAGATTAGGGGACTCTACATTTTGAATCCTTGTAATAAATTAAATACTATGCATTTAAAGACTAGAGATACTAGTTATCTGTAGCTTTTGTGTTTCAGGGAAGTCATGGATGTGATAGTTTGATCAATATATATATATATATATATATATATATACCTATTTTGTTTACACTACTTGTATTTACTCATGTGACAATGTGTATTGACGAAACTGCATGACAATAGGTCTCAAAAATGGAACAATTTTCAGGATTTCACCTTTCCCTAGTATCTTCTAGCAACAAGAAATGTAGTATTTAGGAACTAAAGGTATTTGTATCTTTTTTCCTTAATCACCCATACCCATTCATCTTCATTAATGTACAAGTAAAATTTATTGTGCCAGGTATGGGTGACTTATGCCTGTATTCCTAGCTACTTTGAAGGCTGAGATCTGAGGATCAGATAAATGTTTGAAGTCAGCCGGGCAGGAAGGTCCATGAGACTTATCTAAAGTGTAGCTTGGGGGTTGGATAACAAAGGAATGATAGACATGAAAGAAACAGAATATTTGCTTAGTGGATTAGCAACTGCAAGAGAATTTGATTATTTTTAATGTACCTACATGTGAACTAATCCTTCTGCCTTTTTAAATCCCTTTAGGAAAAATAGAAATGAAGGTACATATGCACACAAAATTTTGCCTCATTTGTTTGCTGACATTTATCTTCCATCACTGCAACCACTGCCATGCAGAACATGACGAAGGACCCGAGGAGCTTCACAAACACCATTGTGGAACGACAGAATTGGAGCCAAATAAATTTTCAGTGCAGGATGCTGAAAATGAAAAAAATTACTATATTGAAAAACTTTTTGACCGCTATGGCGAAAATGGAAGATTATCATTTTTTGGTCTGGAGAAACTTTTGACAAACTTGGGCCTCGGAGAGATAAAAGTAGTTGAGATTAATCATGATGATCTTGGCCATGATCATGTTTCTCACTTAGATATTTTGGCAGTTCAAGAGGGAAAGCATTTTCATTCACATAACCACCAGCATTCCCATAATCATTTAAATCCAGAAAATCAAACTGTGACCAGTATACCAACGAAAAGAAACCATAAATGTGATCCAGAGAAAGAGACAGTTGAAATCCCTGTAAAATCTGATGATAAACATGTGCATGACCATAATCATCGCTTACATCATCACCATCGTGTCCATCATCACTCTGACCATAATGCCACTCGCCATGTTCACAATGATTCTGTTACTCACAGTGAGCGTGGGGAGCCTAGTCATGGACCTTCAACAGAGACCAATAAAACCCAGGAACAATCTGAAGTTAAGCCACTGAAAGGAAGGAGAAAGAAAAAGGTGAAGAAAAGTAATGAGAACTCTGAGGTCATTACTCCGGGTTTGCTCCCTAACCATGATCAGGGTGAACAGTATGAACACAATCGGGTCCACAAGCCTGATCGTGTACATAACCCAGGTCATCCTCATGTACATCCTCCAGAACATAGTGGTCATGATCCTGGTCACGGACACCAAGAGCTTGATCCTGATAATGGTGAACTTCGACATACTAGAAAGCGAGAAGCACCACATGTTAAAAAAAGTGCAATTTATTCAGCTGCTAATCACAAAGATCACAATGAAGATGACCATCCACACGAAGTAAGTATGAAAAGATCTAAACATCTTGGAGCTCATTTTAGACAAAGTAAACTGTAGTAAATCATTTAAACTTACAGTCTTACAGTCTAAACTAATGTTTTCATATGGATTACATTTCTGACCAAACACACACACACATACACAAACATTAAGGTACAAAAGATTTCTTTTTGTCTGGATTTTTTTTTTTTGGGTCCGGTCGTGAGGCCTGAACTCTGGGCCTGGGCGCTTTCCCTCAGCTCTTCAGCTCAAGGCTAGTGCTCTACCACTTGAGCCATAGCGCCACTTCCGGCTTTTTTCTTTTTGCTTATGTGGTGCTGAGGAATCGAACCCAGGGCCTCAGGCATGCAAGGCAAACGCTCTAACCACTGAGCCACCTTCCCAGCTCTTTGTCTGGATTTTTACTTTCTTATTTATTGTCTCAAATCTTCGGTTTAAATGTTTCAGAATACATTCTTTCAATGCTTCCTTTTACTGCATTGCTTACGAATTGTTTGCCTCTTCTAAGTTTTTGCTGTCACTAATGTTAATTTCTGACTATTTGTGCAACCTATCCTTTTGGGTAGTAGATAGGATAGTTTATTTTTCGTAATTATTAGCTTAACTAACTACTAAGTGGTTTGAAGTCAGTACTTTAATACTTTTCATTTTAGTTGGATAAATCATTTTTAGCAAAGCTATTTTCCTTAAGCACATTTATTTCTGCTTCATTAAAGGTATAACAACAGCCTTGTTTATTTAGCATCCTTTCTACAGTGTAGAAAAATTTTTTGAATTGGTGTATTTTTTTTAATATGAATAAAAAAACATCACTATTGAATGTGGGAAACATTTCACCCTTACCCTTTTATTAGTATCATTTCTGTTACTATCATTGAGATGTGTTTTGCATGTAAGTAAATAATTTCGTATTTCTCCTTTAGCTAAATCATCAGATACTTTGGTTTTTAGCAGTCATAAACACTGATTCTAAAATAACATTAAGATCTTAGTGTGATTTTAAATTTTATTGTGGATAAGATTCTATAATTTCCTCTTGATAACAATTGTTTGTTTGCCTTAGACCTGTGAGATATTTATTACTCTGGTTATTGCTGTCCTCACAGTTCTGATGCATACTGAGAATATTCTTAGTTTTTGTTTGTTTGTTTGTTTTTCTTTTTTGCGAGCCCTGGGGCTTGAACTCAGGGCCTGGGCACTGTCCCTGAGCTGCATATGCTCAAATCTATTCTGCCACTTGAATCACAGTGCTACTTCTGGCTTTTTCTGTCTATGTGTTACTGAAGAATTGAACCCCAAGGCTTGAACCCCACGCATACTAGGCAAGCACTCTATCACTAAGCCACATTCCCAGACCTTCTTAGGGCTTTTGAACATACATTGAATAAGGCATGTCAGCATGTCGTGGCAATTAGGATCTGAGGAGATTTTTTTTTTTTATGTTTTCTGGTTCTGATAGCTGATTTATTTCCTGATTATTTATTTTTTTAAATGCTGGTCCTGAGGCTTCAAATCAGGACCTGGATGCTATCCCTCAGCATTTTTGCTCAAGGCTGGTAGTGCTTTTTAACACGAGTCACAGGTATACATTCTAGATTTTTTGGTAGTTCATTGGAGATAAGAGTCTCACAGGCTTTCTTGCCTGGGCTGCCTTGGAACTGAGAGCCACAGATCTCAGCCTCCAGAGCAGCTAGGATTACAGGTGTGATCCACTAGTGCTCATCTCCTGGTTTTAGTTGTTGTTGTTATATTTTTGAGGGGGGGGTCTTTTTTGGGGGGGAAGTAGATAAAATCAGGTACAGAGAGACAGGTCAATAAGCAAGCTGGGAACCAGTAGATACAACTGCAAGAAGGGCAGGACTATTTTCTTTGTCTTAATTTCAGGTATCAATTATTACTTTATGGTAGATCCAAACTTGTTTGCCATTTGTTTTCTACTTTGTTTTATTTTTAAATACCAGTGGATGAAGCTGCTCGTGTGTGTGTGTGTGTGTGTGTGTGTGTGTGTGTGTGTGTGTGTGTGTGTGTGTGTGTGTGTGTGTGTGTGTGTTAGGGGTCAAGCCAAGGGTTTTGTACATACTGCATTTTTTTCTACTGTGGCACACATTGGGATAGGATTTTTCAATACCATGTTCTCTGTCTATCTGTCTGTATGTATGCCTGTCTGTCTGTCTCTTTTCTCTCTCTCTTTGTGCTTGTCTTGGGGCTTGAATTTAGGACCTGGGCACTGTCCCTAAGCTTTTTTGCTCAAGGCTGGCATTCCACCACTTGACCCCATCTCTACTTTTTTGTTGGTTAATTGGAGATGAGATGATGTTTTATTTTTACCTTTTTTCCACCCATGTTGGTGGGACCGTGATCCTCAGGTCTCAGCCTCCTGAGTAGCTAGATTTATAGGCATGAGCCGCTGGCACCTAGCTCCCCCACCTTCACCCCACCCCCACGTTTTGAATGTGATTTTTTTTCCTGTTCTGGCACTATAACTAGAGCTTTGTACAAGTACACCACCTAAGCACATCTCTAAGCTACGTATTATGAATTTTGAGTCAATTATGGTTATAATTTGATAGAGAAATGATGTTTGTACTTATCCCATAAGAATCTTGAGGGTATAGCTATAAAGCATTATCTGTCATGTGTTGGAGTAGAAAACTGATTAAAGCCTATAGAAAGTCTTGAGCAAGATTGAATGCATCCTCATAACAATTTTTTTTACATAAATTCCTATAAAGTTTGATTTTAGATATATTTTCAACTAATAGAATACTTTTATTGTCTAATTTATTTTTTCTGCACAAGCTTCAAGACATTCTTTTACTTACTTTGTTTTGTCAATTTCCTTGCAGTGTTTGAACGTCACTCAGTTGTTAAAATACTATGGCCATGGTGCCAGTGCTCCCATCTCACCTGACCTATTTACATACCTTTGCCCTGCATTGCTCTATCAGATCGACAGCAGGCTTTGTATTGAGCATTTTGACAAACTTTTAGTTGAAGATATAAATAAGGATAAAAATCTGGTTCCTGAAGATAAGGCAAATGTAGGGGCATCAGGTAAGAAAGAGATTTAATTTTTTTCCTCCTTATAATACTATCTGTACTTATGTTTCAAATTACGGTTCACTTAGAAAGGAATGTCAATTTGTTGTCTTGTCAGTGTCAGACTCTAGTGCTTTATCAGGTTTAAGTGTGAATGTTTTAAAAATATTGTAGGAAGACAGGAGGCTCAAACATTATTCTGGCATTGTGAAGGAATGTTTTGCTATGGATAGAAAACTAGATTAAAAAGGAAATAAGTTTCTGATAACTGGATCCTTCTTGATGAGCAAGTTTAAATAATGAGCGCCCTAGTTAAAATTATTTGATGTTATAATTAACTTTTAGTAGTGATAGAATCTCTGGCAAAAAGCAAAGATTACTACATGTTTAAAGAAATGGAAAGAAGCTAGTGTGGTTAAACTCCAGGAATGTCTGAGGAATGCCAGATGGTTAGCATATGAACTTTATCACCCTTACTTTTAGAGAGCTCAACTAGAATAAACCTAAAACCATTTTTAAAATTCTCAGGGCTCCCCCTACTCCCATTATACACAGCTAACTAGATGGATAGCTCTACTTCAATATTTACAAGTACTTTCCTCTTACTGTTTCAAAATTAGTACCATGTGAAAGAAAGTTTGTACTTCTTATTAGATTGCAAATGCTGCAAAAAAATCTTTCTTTTGATAGAATCTAGAACTGTGAATTTTTCTTCTATTTTTACCTTTTTCCTTTGGTATAATCAATTATAAAATCCACTTGACTATCTCTTAAATATCTTCTAATTAATTCCACTATATTGCCTATTACCCTAAATTTGGCTTGATTGGCACTACTGAGGTTTGAACTCAGAGTTTCATATTTCCTGGCTGACTACCACTTGAGCCACATCTGAAGCCTCTTCTTTTCACTGGTTATTGTCAGGATAAATTCATACACTGTTCTCTTGGGGTGGCCTTGAACCAAGATCCTTCTGCTTTCAGCCTCCTGAGAATGTGTAAGCCATCGGGTGCCTGGATCAATTTTTTTGTTTGTCGTTTTAGGAGACATTTCTATTACCTTCTTTGCCAAAGTTCTTGTCCCCCTTATAAAACATCTATAGCACTTAAACTAGATTTATCTTTCTAAAATGCGAATGAGATCCTCTGATACAGAATTTTTTTAGTGATAGCTAATATTTGATACATACTTTTCTATTTACTTAAAAAAATACATTGTAGACACTCTTCCAAACTCAATTCCTTTACTTCTTATTGTGAAGTAATGATATTTTTTTCTTAAGTAGTATCCCCAAGATCTCAGAACCAGTGGGTAATACGGCTGGAGAATATAATTTTGATGACTAACCATTTTGCTCTGTATTTATATGTGTTTTCCACTAAATTTCATCTTGAAGAAGATATTTTGTGAATCTTTTTCATATATATAAGGACATAAGGAAATTACTTGTCCATAATTTTATTATTATCATAAGACCACCTTGGCCCACATTTCATTTAAAGGATTTTTTTCCCCTAATTCTGGGGCTTGAACCCTGGGCCTGGACACTGTCTCTGACCTTCTTTTGCTTAAGGTGCACACTCTACCACTTGAGCCACAGCACCACTTCCAGCTTTTTTGAGTAGTTTATTGGAGATGAGAATCTCATAGAGTTTCCTGCCGGAACTGACTTCAAACTGCAATTTTCAGATCTCAGCCTCCTGAGTAGCTAGGATCACAGGTGGGAGCCACAGGCATCTAGCTTGGCCCACATTTCAAAAAGTTAACTTGTCCATAATTCCAAAGCCTAATAATAAAGCCCATAAACCCTAAGGTTTGGGTGGACAAATAATTCTTATGCCATTATTTTCTTAATTTAGCTAAATCTGATACTACCTTTATAATTTTTGGCACAAATTTTTACACTCTTTAATACTTTTCAGCTGCTTAATACTTTTCTTCGCCTCTTTCCCTGAGAGCATATAGTTAATATGATATGCTAGTTTTACACACACACACACACATATATGTGTGTATATATAATTATATATATAATTTTCTTATGCATATCTGTATTATGCTGTATTATCTTTTTAATTTTTTAAATTAATTTATTTTTTATTGTGAAAATACTGTACAGAGGGGTTACAATTACATGGGCAAGATAATGAGTACATTTCTTATCAAGCATTGTAGCTTCCTCCTTTGTTTCCCCTTACCATCCCTTCCCTATGCTGTGTTATCTTAACGTTCAGAGTCCCTTACTTGACACAAAGACTTTCGGTAATACTTCTGACTCTGTGCCTTTGCATCCTATTTTTACCTTTCATTCTGTCTTTTTTTGGGGGGGGTCTTCATTGATAACCTTAACATATTATGTTATTTAACCTTAATATATTATGTTATTTTTTTCTGTCCTTTTCTGCATGACTACTATACTCTTTACAGATTCAGTTTAGGCTTTAGACTGGGTTCACTTACTAATCACCCCTCCTTGGCAGACCTAAATATCTCTCTTCTAGTACAGATCTTAAAGGCAATGGCTGGAGCTATCATCTCTTTTTCTATAGTTCTTTAAATAAAGAGAACTTTGGGAAAAAGCAACCACTTACATTGATTGAATGGAAAAGTTTATTAGTGTTAGTCTGCAAACTTTCAGCTACAATTTAGCAGAGATGTTTGTTGAAAATACATCTTTGAAGATCATTAAGTGTATCAGTCAAACTAGTAAATATTGATTGAAAATTTTCATGCAGTACTTCACCATATGCCAAACCACGATGGAATTACTATAGATTTAGAAAAATAAATAAAGTTAGGTTGAAATGTGGGCCAAGATGGCCTGTAGAGTAGTAATCAAAGTGACTAAAATGATGTTTGTAAATATGGAATAAAACCTGAATTTGGGAAAGATAAACAAATGAGACTATTTTAAAATTTCATAGGAGAGAAATAAAATAAGCATGTTTATAAATATCAGATTTCAGTGTTTTTAAGATTTTTATTTAAGATAGAGTTACTTCTTAAAGTTTCGGAGAATACAAATAATAGGAAATGCTGTTATTTTATAGCAAAATAAGACTACTAGGTTAATTACATTTCAACTTCTGGTTAATTTTTTCCCGTAGAAAAATTACCTTAGATAAATAAATTGTAATAGGCTATCTTTATTGGAACCTTATGTGCTAACTTATTTTAAAAGGATATTTCATTCATCTGTAATATTCTTTTTTGTGAGCATGTCTATTTATTTTATTGGGAGGATGATGTACAGAGGGGTTATAGTTACATAAGGTAATGAGTACATTTTTTGTTGAACGTTGTTGCCCCCTCTGCTGTTTCCTCCCACTTTCCCTTACTCCTATCTAATGTTCTTGAGTTGAGGATCTCCTTATGTTGCCCAGGCTTCCTCCAACTCTATACTCAAGCAATTCTTTGCATCAGCCTTGGGAATAACTGGGACCACAGACATGCCTCACTGTACCTGGCTCATTTCATTTATTAAATCCACAAGATGGGTACTCTGATTTGTTTCCATTTACTGAGGAAGAGAAGGTTTAGAGAAGCTAAGTAACCTAGCTGCTGGGTTAGAAGAGCTACAATATGAACTCCAGTCTCTCTGTCCGAAGCTTAGAATGGCAAGCACTGTTCTCCACCGATATGCTTCCTGCTCTGCTGCTTCCTACAGAACGAGTTCTGAAGAATGCTTTACCACAATGAAAGTGACTGAGAAAGGAGGAGAGTTATAAACATCTATTTTGAGTGGTATTTGAAGGACTTGAAGATACAGGAATATGATAGAGAGTAAATATGCATTGTTCCTAGCATAAATTAGTTGGTGAAAAAAATCCTCAAGAATTGTCTTCTAAACTAGACAAGCTGGGTTCGGTCTGGCAAGAATAGTGAAGACAGATTAGGTGGGTCCACAAGCTGGGCTTGAGATACATAATATTTGTCATCTTCCTTGACCTCATGCAGGTGAGTAACACCTTTCTAAAGCACAGCACAAGTCCCTTACCATAGCGCGAGAAAAAGGGAAACCAGCATTATAATATATTAGATATATTAAATATAATATATTAGAAAATACATTTGTTCTATACAGGGAAAATGGAAGTTGACAAGGTTGAAGTTAAAACCAATAGCTTTTTTTGTGTGTGAAGACTTCTAGAAATTCCAGTTGGTTTCACATAATCATTTTTGGATTATGACTTTTAATTAGAGTTGTCTTTGGTAATATTTCTATAATCCATATATTGTAATGAAGACGTTAATAGATATTTAACTGTAGTAATATTAAAAGTTACAAGTTATTCAGTCTGAAACCTTAGAGAAAATAGTATTCGTTTTGAAAACAAATACCTTACTAATAGTGAATATTGATGAGTTGTTTGCAGGTGGTTATTAGCAGCGTCAGAAATGCGGCTTGAATTAATTATGGCCTGATAGATGTTAATAATTGTTACAGAGAATGCCCTGCTAGTAATTATTTTTAATGACTGCTACACCATTAAGAAAGGTTAACTTGTTCTATATAAATCTCCCATAGTGACACAGCTACTACCTCATTAACTTTGTTCAAAGACTGCTGTAAACCAAATATGCTGTATACTGTGCATGGTGGAAATCATTTGTTTCACAAGATTGGCTCATTTAGTCATAGAGTTGACCCTCGCTTAATTACCAAGGGGGGTTGTGAACAGGCCGCTAAGCATTTTCTGCCAATTAAAATGCTGAAACAGTGTAGAAAACTGCCATCTTGCACATGCTCGGCACCAAGTTAATTAGAAAGTTTCCACAGATGAGCGCTTCTTTTTAAAAGAATGCATTTTCTCTCTTGGTAATGAGAAAGGGAGTTGTTGAATAACTAAGCTTGAAGACCTTTAATGTTTTAAGCAACCTAATTTGCAGAATAAGTGAAGCTTGTTTCAGACATTTAGCACTTTTTATTGCATATACTATCTTAGGTACAAATAAAGAAAACATTTCCTAGTTGCATTTCATAGTTTGTATATTGTTAGTTTGGTATAAGTTTA